AGTAGTAGTAGTAGTAGTAGTAGTAGTAGTAGTAGTAGTGTTATCATTTTATCATTATTATTGTTATTATTTTATTTATTTTATTATTGTTGTTGTTATTATTATTATTACTATTATTATTATTATTATTATTATTATTATTATTACTATTATTATTATTATTATTATTCTGTATATTTTTCTGTGATCAGCTCAACCACCTGAAGCACTTATTTCCCTTTGGCTCCGAAGTCCGTGCAGACCTGATGGTGGACCCTGACTATGCCCAGTACCAACAGGTGGTCTACTACATGTTCAACTGGGCCACTGTAGAGGCGTACAAGTGGCGCTATAACAGGGGAAATAGGGTAGGTCGGCGGTACACCTTACTCGTTTCTTCTTGTTGTTATTTGTTTGTTTGCTTGCTTTCGCTTTTTGTGTTGATGTTTCTCTGTGTTTTTTCTTGTCTATCTGTTTTGTCAATGAATAGACAGCACATCAGCACAGTAATGACCTTTAGAGCCTGAAAACGAGTGCAGAGCACACCCCCCCCCCCCCCGCGCCCCACACAGAGAGAGAGAGCGAGAGAGAGAGAGAGAGAGAGAGAGAGAGAGAGAGAGAGAGGGAGGGAGAGGGAGAGAGAGGGGGGGGAAAAAATGGCGAAGGATAAGGCGCAGGTATCTTACAAATGATGAATACATGTGCATAAAAAGCACATTCCTGCCAACCAGTATTGTATTAGAAACTTTGATACGCTTTGATACGGGTATGAGATTTCGGTTCTAGGGGATAACTATTACTTGTGATGCGGGGGGAGGGGGGCAAAAGGGGGGGGGGGGGTGTTGAGGGGATGTGTATTATTTTTTCTCATTTTCCCTTGCTTTTTATTCTTTTTTATTTCAGACTAACCCAAATTACGACGTAGCTGTAGCAGCCACCGATGCTCTCAATAGACACGGGTAAATAAACGTGTTGTATGGATTGATGTGTTCAGATCTTGACAACTGTCTATTTGTTGCTCTGGAAGTTCTGTAACATTTTAACGTATCAGAGATAATGGGAAAGGGGTTGGGGAGCTTTCGTGGTCTGGAGGTTACGATGTTCGCCTCTTATTCAATAAGTCCAGCGTTCGAAACCTGACAGTGACAGAAAATGTTCTTCCCTAAAAGGTTCTCCTTTTGCCTCCTTTCCTGCTCTCTAACCATGTTCTGTCGTTTGCTTTCCTCTCTATTTTCTTCCCGCCCACCCCCACCCCACAACCTATTTCCTTTTGCCCCTTCCTCAGGGCTCCTGACTCTTTCTGCAGCCTTTCTACTGCTAGTCCTTGGCTCCTTCTTAACTGCTGTCTTTCAGTTACACCCCTGATCTTATGGTAGGTAATATCTAACATCTAGCCTTCTCGGATAAGGATTAAAAACCTCAGAGGTCTCGTGTGCAAGTTGCACACATCAAAGATCCCTTGGTGGTCCTAAGATTGATAAGAGTAGGCTTTGACCGTCACCCGGACGAATTTCAAAATTCTTACTAAACTGAAAATGATTAGTGTGTTCGGCGCACCCAATTAGTGTGTTCAGCGCACCCATCTGACCTTATTGTGTTGCAAGTGCCGTAAAAAATTACCAAAACAAAAGATAGGGGGAAAACACGTGCTTGAACCTTTGCCTTCCGAGCGATCTGCTGTTTAAACTCAAACCCTTGCATTTTTCTCAACGGGATTCATTGAGGTCTCACTTATTCTTCAACGTCGATCCATACCCTTCAAAATCGTATTTTTAGGGGGGGGGGTGTTATATGCTCTACAAAAACTCTCGGAACAAGGATTGCAAAAGAAAAACTTTGGCCTTGAAAGCATTAGATTCTAGGACGGCTTTTACTCAGGCAGGATGTTTTCTGAAACCCCGTTCGGAAATAATGATATTCCCTGTAGGAGAGAAAAGCATAATTTGGACCCCCCTCGAGGATTCGAGGTTCGAAAGGTTCTCGCGGGTTTTTATCCTCCCCCCAACTAAAGCAGCATCAGTTGGGGGACTTTGCTTGGCATTCGGATAAAACATTAGGCGGGAAAACAGATTTAAATATTTTATGGGCAGGCAATTTTTTGCGCTTTTTATAAATATTGGCAAGGGGAAGACTTTTTTCCGGAATAAAAAGAAAATCTTTTGACCGTAATCAGGCCAAGGTGTCAAACTTTTATTTTTCTTTCGTGATCCTTTCTCTTTTTTTAAATTTCT